TGTCAAAGAGCTAGTATTATGCTTATGACAGACAGGGTGAAGTAAAGTTCAGGAGTCCTTACTTCTTAGTTCCTTCATGAAAGGATAAAAAAGCCTAAAGCAAAAGAAGGCCTTGATGCAATGACAGTAGAGGTAAAGTGGACTGCATGTCCAGTAACTGACAGGCCAGGTCTTCCAGTGGTATTTCCCAGGAAGGCTGCTGAGGGAGCTTGCTGCAGCCTGCTAAGAATAGCAAGTGAAGGCAGGCAAGAGGCAGTGGCATGCGGGGTAAAGTGCCCTCTGCATGAAATACAAGAGAAGCAATATTGAAAAATGGAAAACAAACCCCACAGGACTCAAAGACATGAAAGCCAGAAAAAAGTTAGACATTTGTGAGGCAATAAATGGTTCAGTCTTAGCTCTTTGTGAATCAAAGTCATGAATAACAAAAGCTCTTAAATTTCTTCTAAGTGTTTTCCCACTGACAAAGCTAGCTTCTAGAGAAGAACAAACACTGCCATTAACTCAATTCAAGAATATTCAGACAATAGATCAAATCCTGACACTTTTCAATATCAAGTCACTTCTGTGGGGACAATACTTTCCCAGTCTTCCCCTCTTCAGAGAGTTACTTTGAGCATCAACTTTTAGAAGCCCAATGTGCTATGCATTGTGTGACAGAACCACCTGGACATCAACTTTTAAATCATTATTTTAACCCTTAACTCCCTTCACTTTATTCAAACTCTAAACCAAAGGGAGGAAAAACTGATGTGCCGATCTATTACCTTTCCTCAAATTATATTGCAAACCTCTAAATCTTATTTCAGCTTTTTTATCACCACACATTAAAGTATGTAAATCTGAAAAGTGATTTTTACCACAGGTCTTTTCTTAACCTGTTTCATCAGAAAAAAAAAGTGTAATTCTAATTATTGACTTGAACACCTGACCCATCTGCTAAACATATACACCCATAATTTTAAAATTTCTTTAAACAGAATTTATTCCAGACCAAGAGAAACAACTCATCAAAATATGAAGTTTCAGTATCTTTGTGAGACTAAGTGTTAATTTCTCTTCTTTGGGTTTGCTTGTTTTCCCCACTTAATATGTGTGGATTGTTCAAATATCACCTGCTATAAAGAACTATTGAGTTTGGCATCCATAAACTGTTGATAGTTGAAAAAGTTGACATAATAATCATAATTGGTTATAATCTCTGTAGAAACTGGGGTTGGTTATACACTTTATTTACACATAACTTAGGTAATTTGAATGTTAAAGTACGTTTCCTTTTCACACAAATCAGGTACTTGGGTAGGGAAGTATCAAGTCTATATAAAGAATAGGATATACATACAAGGAGATATGTATATACATATGTATATACATACACTGTATATAAGTATATACATGTGTGTATATACACACACACACACACACACACACACACACACACACACATACACTGTATATTCAGTGTATGACTGGAAGATCAGGTAAGTAAGTAGCTTCGGGGCAGCGATTACAACTTTCCATTCTCTACAATCTCACTTTCCCCTAACATGATATTGCAATCAATCTTGTTCTTTTTCACTTAGGCACTATGATTTACAATATTATTAATAGGAATTTTCAGGCATATAATCATGCTACACCCACCCCTTACCAGAATGTCAGTGTCTCTCCATCACTATCTCTAGGTCTCCTCTCCCCACCCACCCACACCTCAGCAAACTAAGTGAACTCACCAGCTCTGTTATTTTTGCTTGTTATTCCCTTACTATTTTTCTTTATATTCTACATTAGAAAGACCATTCTGTAACTGTCTTCTTTGACTGACTTCACTCAGCATAATCTCCAGTTCCATGCACATAGTAGTAAACTGCAGAATTTTATCTTTTCTTATAGCTATTTCCATGTTTAAATAACATCTTTTCTCTACTTACCATCTGTTTGTAAGCACTTGGATTATTACCAGATGCTGGCTATTATGAATAGTGTTGCAATGAACATGTAAGGGCAAACATCTTCTCTGATAAATGGTTTTGGGCTGTTGGGGCATATACCAAAAAGCATAATCATTGGTCTTATGGAAACCCACTTTGTAACTTTTTGAGAAGTCTCCATATTGTTTCCCATAGAGGATGACATTCCCACCAAAGGTGGTCACACACACCACTAGCACTGGCTGTTTCTACTCTTATTGATAATGCCAATCTAACTAGTGTGAGATGTTATCTCATTGCTGCTTTGATTTGCTTTCCCTAGGAAGTTATGAAGAGAATTTTTTCATGTTGACATAATACGTTGCGTATCTCCAAGAACGAACCTGTTGGTGGGGCAAAAAGATAGTAAAGATGTTAAGGTGCTTACCTCACATCCCACCAACCTCAGTTCAAATCCCTGACACCACATGTGCAACCCCCACAAGCACTGACTGGGGACATACCTGAGCACAGAGTCAGGGTTAGTACCTGAGCAATGCTAAATGTCGTCCAAAAATAAAGAAAACAGAATGAAGCTGTTGTGGCCTGAGAGAGAGAGTCAAGGGACATGTGTTGTATATAACTGACATCAACCAAGTTGTATCCAAGGCAACATGGTGTACCCTCCGTGTCCCTGAGTTCAGGTCTGAAGGTCCCAGAGCACCACTGGGATGAACAAGGGAATCCCCAAAACCACTGAATCAGAGCAGCACTGCAGTGGCTGAGAATCCCCACGAGGGTCTCACAAAGTCTCCTGAGCAATGCTTGGAATGACACCTCCAAAACAGAAGAGTTGTGGGCATTCCCCTTGGACCCCCCATTCTACATACTTGTGGGAATTTTTGTTACTTTTTTTCCCATAAATATTTCTTCCTCCTTATCCTCACCCTCCAAAAATGAATTCTGCTCTTCTTGTGGACTGAACTTTGTAACTCAGTTTCCCCCCTTTCTTTTTCAGGGGGGAGGAGGTTTAAGCCACACCTCGCAATTCTCAGGGGTTACTCCTGGCAGTGTTCAGGGGATCATTTGGAATGTGCCGGATCAAAGCTGGGTCAGCCACATACAAGGCAAATGCTCTACCCACTGTTCTATAGCTCCAGCCCTTTGTAACTCATTTCTAATCAAAAAAGTGTAGCAAAAGTAAGTGGGCTGAGAACAGAAATAATCTGAGATTAGTAAAAACCTCATGACTTCCTTTGATAGTTTTCCCTAGGAGACTAACTTGTCACAAGGACACTCAAGTCACCCTGCAGAGAGGTGCACATGAAAAGAAGTCAAAGCCTTTGGCTGCCAGTCATGTGAATAAGCCATGACGAAAGTGAGCCTCTGACTCCAAAAGTCTGTGGCACCTGTTGCTTGAAAATCAGTTTGGGGTAAACTATTAAGCAAGAATAACTAAAACACTGTCACTGTCATCCCATTGTTCATCGATTTGCTCGAGCAGGCACCAGTAACATCTCCATTCATCCCAGCCGTGAGCTTTTAGCAGCCTCTCCTTACTCATCCTTCCCAACGCTGCGACACTGGAGGCTCTTTCAGGGTCAGGGAAATGAGGCCTGTTATTGTTAATGGTTTTGGCATATCGAATATGCACCACAGGTAGCTTGCCAGGCTCTACCATGTGGGCAGGATACCCTCAGTAGCTTGCCGGGTTCTCCGAGGGGGACAGAGGCTCCAGGAAAAACTGCATCACTCTCTTCCAGGAGCTTTGTTGTGTAGTCTCTGGATCTTGGCCACTGATGAGATTACATGGCGCTGGGGAGAGTTTGTGGGTGTGACTGCCAAGCTACTGGAAAACAGGGGATCTGGGTGGAGGAGGCCCAGTCCTGATCCAAGCAGGGTTGGATAACTCAGCCACAGGTTCTGCATACCTGGGTTCCTCTGTCGGTTCCTTCATGCCTGAGGTTCTTGGCCTTTTGGCTAAGATCAAGTGTAATGTGTAACTAAAACACTAGCATTACTAATAGCCAGATATTCCCAAAATAGCAAACATTATTTCTAATTCCTAACTAGATTCCAATTAATTATGAACGCCAAACTTTCTGACATTAATCATTGACTGGCATTCCATGTGAATTTTTTAAAATTGAAAACTAGAGTTGTGAATTTTAATTGTAACTATCACAATTTTAAATTGCTGAATGACATCAATTCTTTTACTGTATAGGCAAGGAAAATGAAAAAATTTCCTTATTCCCTATCTCTACTCTCTTCCTCTCTACTGATGATAAAGGAAACTAAGGAAATTGAGGTCACTGTCACTGTCCTCCCACTGTTCATTGATTTGCTCGAGAGGTCCCAGTAATGTCTCCATTGTGAGACTTCTTGTTACTGGGTCTGACATATCGAATACATCACGGGTAGTTTGCCAGGCTCTTGCCATGCGGGTGAGATACTCTCGGTAGCTTGCCAGGCTCTCTGAAAGGGATGGAGAAATCAAACCCAAGTTGCCCGGGTTGGCTGCATGCAAAGCAAACGCCCTACCCACTGTGTTATCGCTGCAGCCCAAGGAAACTGAGGTACACTAAAACTTAGAAACCTATCCAAAGTTTTCATTTAAGTAGAAAGTAAGAGACCCAAGACTCAAACCTCAGTGTCTACTTTCAAATCTTGTCACTATGCTATGCTTCCTCATAAAATATATACCCAACAATAATTTAAGAACATCAAACTAGGTAGTAATTCTCAAATTTACATATGGTTACATAGTTTATGGCTTGTATTTTATTTCCTTTTTGGTGTTTAGGCTATTAATAGCATGTTATGAACACTATTAATAATTAATACCAATGTTGGCCTATGTAGTGAACAAAAGATTAATTATACATACATGCATATTCATATTTGGACAAAAAAATTTTAAGAGAATTATCACTTGGCACATAAATAAGCAAAATTCAAGTGAAAAACTGTAGTTAACATCTTATTATTTAATGTCATGCCCCTGTATATGATATAATGGTCAATTCCCTAAGTGGTGAAAATATTACTTTCCCTGTGCTTACTTAAAACATTTTAAAAAACAACTAATCCAGATCACATTGGGAGATTTTTATTAACTTAAAAATGACTATTAATTCTGTTTGCTAAGTTGCTGGTAAATACAACTTTATTTGATGCAACCTACAGGCTCTTCTTAATACCACAGGATCATGATGACTTGGAGTAATCAGTGTTTTGTCATAATTAAAACAATGTTTAAATAATTAACAAATAACATCACTTAAATACTTAAAAAAAATCTAGGGAGTGTTGAAAGCTGCTCATAAATAGTGACTGACATATTTAATTAGGCATTTGATGTTCAGAATAAACACTTCTTACATAAAACACTGTAGTACATTGCTCTACTAATGAAGCTCGTTACCAGATGTGTTACTAGCACTGAAGAATAATGCTTTATCTTATTTTATTTATCTTCATTATTTTATTCATAGTATTCATCAATGAAGAATGCTGTATCCAACAACAATAAATTGCATATTGCAAGTGACATTCTGTAGAAGTGAAAAAGAAAGCTGGAATAAAAGAAAGCAGATATCTGCCATACATAATTTTTATATAAACAGTCTGTTTTGGACATCAAAATTAAATGCAGATGAAATGCTTTAAAAAGGCTTTGTGCCTAAGAGGAATACAATCTCCACATATTAAGGGGGAAAAGAACAATAATAATACAGAACACAGTATCTGAACAATTGAAGCACATTTTACTCCTTCAACTATAGATCAATTTCTCCAATCAGATTGGCAGCTGAAATTTCACGTCTACCTGGGCTTGCTTGGCTAAGGTCACTATTTCAGAAAGCTTCACAACCTAAAAGGAAACAAAAAAATCTCTGTATTCTCACAAACAAAAAAAGAACTACTAGTCAACATGAAGTTAATGTATATCTAATATTTACTCATTTAAAACTACTGAACTGGGAGGTAGAGGAGTCCGTGACACAATGGTGGAGGGATCCTGACACTCTGAGTGAACATGGTTATTGCCACAATGCAACTGAAAATAATAATATTGTACTACTGTAAAAATATTTTAATCAAAACAGTAATTTTAAATAAATCAAATATCTGGACAATGTTGGCACTGTTATAAATCACTACGCAGTCTCGTAAGAATTTATCAAAATATACTAAAATCTGACTCTCTAGATATTATACTAAGACAGTACCTTAAAAAACACATAAACTTAATATACGTAATATATACTTATATACATTATAAGTTACAGAAGGTATTAACTCAAGATTGTATTTTTTATATATACATGTGTGTATATATATGTGTGTGTGTGTATATATGTATATATATACATATATACATATTTTGTTGTTGTTGTTGTTGCTATTCTTGGGCCACATCTAGCGGTGCTCAGGGACCACTCCTGGAGAGCTTAGGGGACCATATGGAGTGGTGGAGATTGAACCTGGGTCAGCTACATGCAAGGCAAACACCCTACCTTCTATACAATTGCTTCACCCCTGAAAACCCTTTTTTCAGCATTTTTTTTTCAGCATTTCTAAATTAAAATCTCATTTAAAGATTTTGTATGCATTGGGGATGGAAAGCTAGTACAGTCATAAGGAGCATCCCATATAGTCCCCTGAGCACACGAGGAAAGATTCCTAAGTACAGAGTAGAAGTAACTACTGAGTCAGGTGTGGCCCAAAAACTTAAAAAAAAAAAAAAAAAGAAAAGAAAGGAAAGAAAAGAAAATGCTTTGCATTGTAAGGTATATAACAAGACATAGTCTACATATGTATCTATGTCTAATACCTTGTCTACATATATATCACAGCGGTAGGGCGTTTGGTGCAGCCAGCCCGGCCAAGCCGGGTTCGATTCCTCCGCCCCTCTCGGAGAGCCTGGCAAGCTACCGAGAGTATCTCGCCCACACGGCAAAGCCTGGCAAGCTACCCGTGTCGTATCTGATATGCCAAACATAGTAACAACAAGTCTCACGATGGAGATGTTACTGGGACCGCTCGATCAAATCAATGAATAACGGGAGGACCATGACCGTGATACATATATTCAATACCTTGATTATTTACACATATTTATTCATAGCACTGCGGCACTGTCCTCCCGTTGTTCACTGATTTGTTCAAGCGGGCACCAGTAACATCTCACAACAAACTGTGAGACTTGTTACTGTTTTTTGGCATAGCGAATACATCGCAGGTAGCTTGCCAGGCTTTGCCACGTGGGTGAGAAACTCTCGATAGCTTGCCGGGCTCTCCGAGACGGACTGAGGAATTGAACCCGAGTAGGCCGCATGCAAGGCAAACGCCCTACCCACTGTGCTTTCGCTCCAGCCCATACATTCAGAGAGATTTTAATATACATTTGATTCTAATAAGACTACATGTATATATGTGTGTGTATATATGTATGTATGACTAACAAATGATAACATATATAAAATGATATCACTTTAGATTTTCTTCAAAATAATCTTAGGTGGGACTGGAGAAATTTCTTAGTGTGATACAGCAGTTGTTTGGACAAGGTCTTGATTTTGATCTAGTACCACATAATCCCTAAGCACTGTCAGGCATATCCCACGTGGCCCCAATAGCTTTGTCAAAGGACTATCCACCCTTCCATGCTAAGCTCTGCCAGAAGTAGCCAAAGGCCCCGAGCACTGCCAGGTATAGCACCTATAAAAAATACATCAAATAATCATCACTGTCACTGTCATCCTGTTCATCAATTTTCTCGAACAGGCGCCAGTAATGTCTCCATTTGTCCCAGCTCTGAGATTTTAGCAGCCTGTCCTTACTCATCTTTCCCAATGTACTGGAGGCTCTTTCAGGGTCAGGGGAGTGAGACCTGTTGTTGTTAACTGTGTTTGGCATATCATAGGTAAGAAAATAAATAATTTAGCAGAAACACTTATTAGCAAGATTAGCTGGCTTGTTTTAGAATTTATGTGCTCATAAACCTTTCTTGTTTTGTTTTGTTTAGGGGGCCATACCTGGCAATGGGGTTACTGTCTGTGTTCAGGGATCACTCCTGGCAGGCCCAGGAAACCATATAGGATACCGGAAATCTCACCTGGGTCAACTGTGTACAAGGCCCTACCCACTGTACTATTGCTCCAGCCCCAATGTGTTTATAAATCTTTGAAACACTTTGCAAAATTTTCCTTAGATCAGCTTACCATTTTAGCAGCCTCATCCAAGTCATCACAAGCAAGAATTTTCAGTCCACTGTCTGCTATCAGTGCCTTAGCATCATCAACTCGTGTACCTGGAAATGGTTAATGAAAATATAAATATATATATTAAATATTTACACAAAATTATTTTAAATGTTTCACAATATACTACAAGCATGAAATTCCAACATTTAGTTTCTTAAATTAATGCTTCTAAATCAAAAAGAACTCTGGGCTTATAAAAAGTTACTTAAGACATATATAAAATTACTTGAGGGACTGGAAAGATAGCACAAAAGGTAGGGCGTTTGCCTTGTACGTGGCCAACCCAGGTTCGATTCCCAGCATCCCATACAGTCCCCTGAGCACCGCCAAGAGTAATTCCTGAGTGCACAGCCAGGAGTAACCCCTGTGCATTGCTGGGTGTGACCCAAAAAGTAAAAAAAAAAATTAAAATTACTTGATACAAGTATTTTGCCTTACAATATCCCTGAAACTAAGTCAGGAGAGAGAATTCATGACAAAGCATAACAAATACAAATGTATCAAATAACACCAACTAAATCAATGATCAATTTTACTCAGTGTTAGAAATATTTTTAAAACCCACATTATTAACATTTCTTCTTTTATATACTTTCATTTGACAAATATAGTTATGGGCCAGAGACACAGTATAGGAGGTAAGGCTCTTTCACTGTATGTGGTCATTCCTGGTTTGAATTTCCAGCACCATGCATGGTCCTCTGACCACCATCAGAGGTCACTCCAAAGCACAAAACCTGGAACAGTCCCTGAGCACTTCTGGTATGGCCCCCAAATTCACAAAAATATCAATAAATGAAATAGAAGTAATTTGAAAACACTACTTATTTAAACTGAACTCCTGGGAATTATGAATTTATAAATAATAAGAATTTATGGAACAGTCATGCAAGATATCATTTACACTCACCTTGTAACCGTACCACAATAGGTATTTTAATGTCCAGATCCTTTACTGCCATAACTATACCCTGTGCAATAACATCACACCGCATGATTCCTCCAAAAATGTTGACCAAAATAGACAGTACCTAATAAAATAGATGTTAAAGGGTGAGTATTTGTCCTTCCCCAAAAAAATACTAGCATCTGTGCCTTAGGATAAAAATTCCATGAAAGGGTTTTAGACCACATTAAGTCTATTCAGTCAACCACCCACCAGAATTTATTTTCCCCTCCTTGAGTGATTTCAACACCTGGCTTAAATACTTCTCTCCAATTCCATTCCCATATAAACAAGTCATCCCAATTTCTCTATTTATTTCCTACTAAACTCAGTCCTCATCAACATCAGCCCTCATCAAGTTATAATTTCAAGGGCCCAACTCAAAAGTAGAACACATGTCTTACAGATAGTTTGATCTTGGGCATAAAAAAAATTTTTTAAAAAGGGTATGTCACTTTTTTCCGAACCACACGGCTGCTTATGCAGCCGCACGACATTTCCTTAAATGCAAAATGATCAATGGAAAGTAAATCATCCAACATTTCTCCCTGAAAATCAGGCTTGACTCTTTTGCAAACCACAACACCCAAAAGGAAAGAGAAAACAAAGGGGAATGCCCTGCCACAGAGGCAGGGTGGGATGGGGGGGATTGGGGGTCGGGGGAATACTGGGATCCGTGGTGGTGGGAAATGGGCACTGGTAGAGGGATGGGTATTTAATCATTGTATAACTGAAACCCAAGCACAAAACTTGTAAGTCTACAACTGTACCTCATGGTATCTCACTAATAAAAATTTTAAAAAAAAAAGGGTATGTCACAATATCACAAACTGGCAAGATCTTTAATTGTGACCTTTTCTAGATTTAGATCATTTCTTCATTTATTCCTATCAACTGAACCATCTTCTCTCATAAGCTAGGCCTTAAAAATTATTCAGGTTTGGAATTAGGAAGATAGAACAAGGGTTAGGGTACAGGCCTTACAACCTATGTCCAGTAGCACATGACTCCCAAACCATACACCACGATAGGATATTGTACTGGAGATCCCAAAGCACCACTGAGTGAGAATCTAGTACTAGTTCCCGGAACCACAAAACCCAAGAAACACACTGCATCCTCAGGCCCTGGAATCAACTGAAAAGCCCAGGTGGTCAGAAAGAAAAGTCTAATTATTAGACCACTGTTTAATTAATCAAGTTACTCCCATTCAAATTTTACAACAAAGGCCCCGATCTTACATTTTTATCTGAAGTGATGAGTTTAAATGCTTCTGTTACTTGATGAACTGTGGCACCACCGCCAACATCAAGAAAGTTGGCTGGAGTCCCTCCATGAAGTTTTATTATATCCATTGTGGCCATAGCCAAACCAGCACCATTTACTATCAAGAAGGAAAAATAGTTTGTATAAACAACTAACACAAAGAAGATATATTAATCTTGGCCAATCCAACTCTAACATAAAATGATGCAGTACCTAGACAGCCTATATTTCCATCTAGGCCAATGTAGTTCAAATCTGCCTTAGCTGCATCTTTATCCCTTTCATCTTCCTGGGTCCAGTCCTGCAGATCAAAGATTTTCTTCTGGCGATATGCTGAATTAGAATCAAAATTGATCTTTGCATCCATACATAGCACTTTGAAGAAAAAAGACGAAAGTGATATTAAATTCAAGAGAGAGAAATCATCTTTAATCAAGCATTCTTTAAGGGAGATATGTATTTTACTACGTATAGAAAGTACTTTCATTTATGTTCACAATTCAATCTGTTTTTTTGTTTTGCTTTGTTTTTATAAAAGACAATTTGGGAATTAAAATGACTCCATTGACGTGTGCTGAAAGTAGAATATGGACTGGACATGATGACCACTTAGTACCTGTATTGCAAACCATAACACCCAAAGGAGAGAGAGAGAGAGAGAGAGAGAGAGAGAGAGAGAGAGAGAGAGAGAAAAAGGGAATGTGCCTGCCACAGAGGCAGAGAGGGAAGGGGGGGGGGGGGGCATGGTGGCGGGAGTGATACTGGGAACACTATTGGTGGACAACCCAAGCACAAAAATTTGTAAGTCTACAACTGTACCTCATGATATCTCACTAATAAGAAAGAAAGAAAGAAAGAAAGAAAGAAAGAAAGAAAGAAAGAAAGAAAGAAGAAGATAAAACTACTCTAAAGTCAGAGGCTCTAATTTATCCTAAGTAGCACTGTAGCACTGTCCTCCCATTGTTCATCAATTTGCTCAAGTGAGCACCAGTAACGTCTCCATTGTGAGACTTGTTGCTGTTTTTGGCATATTGAATACGCCATGGGGAGCTTGCCAGGTTCAGCTGTGTGGGTGGGATACTCTCGGTAGCTTGCTGGGCTCTCCAGGAGGGGTGGAGGAATTGAACCCAGGTCAGCTGCGTGCAAGGCAAACACCCTACCCGCTGTGCTATCACTCCAGCCCATCCTAAATAATAGATACTAAAAAGACACACCCCACACATACCATCGAAAAAAAATTTAAAGCAGACCTCAAAAACAATTTTTAAATTTTCTGGTTGTTTTTATCGTGTGTGTGTGTGTGTGTGTGTGTGTCACATCCAGTGGTACTCAGGGGTTATTCCTGGCACTGCACACAGGAATTACTCCTGGTGATGCCCGGGGTATTACATGGGATGATGGGGAATCAAAGTCAGGTCAGTTTCATGCAAGGCAGGTGCCTTACCAGCTGTAGTATCTCTCTGGCCTCGATTTTTTTAAGGTTTTTATTAACAAGAATTACCTAGCTATATTCATAACTAATCCCTTCTTGGATCCTAGAGTCCATTGTATGCAAGGCATGAACTTTACCCCTGTATCTCAACTCACCTCCTAACAGATAAATTAGCATATTTTAACCCATTTGGAAAGTTCACGAGGTGAAACTCTGAACTACATACAAATACTTATAGGACATTCAAAAGAGCAGGTGAATTAGGATGGCAGACTCAAAAGAAAAACGGAAAGCTAGTATCTCCTCCAAGTCAGCCTGTGAGAGCAGAAGCTGAATGGGTAAGTTCAATGAGTTAATACTGAGGAACGTAGACAGAGATGCAAAACTTCCCCGCTTCCCCACTCTTGATATTTCCTTACACATACAAAGGATTCACTAAGAATAATATCTTATTATTACACCCTCTTTACTCGCTCCCAGAGGAGAGGTAGCAAATTATCTGTAAATCTAGATATGACAAAGCTAGACATGCAGAATTCAGTGCAATCTTTTCATCTCTTGAGAGTGAGATTCGCACAGAGAGCAAGTATTTCCAACTGCTATTCCTGGGGCATAGTCTAATCGTGAATGAACTGCCCTAGTAGAGTCTAGTATTTTCAGGTATCCTGCCTTACAATAGTTTATTATCATTATTAGCTTATGCTTAAAGTGCTAGTGCACCACCCCAACCATAGAAGTGTCAATATCCTTCCAACATAATACAAAGGTCCCTTTACCCACCTCTTGGTACCTCAATTCCATTGTCAATATCTGTTTATTTTCATGGGGCACTGTCAATTCCTTTCAAATATTTATCTGTAATGCTACTTTTGAATCTAATTCTATTTCTCTAATGGCTAAAAATATTAGAAGTGATATCATACCAGCAGATAGATTTATACAATAAAGATTTGTGTTGTCTCTGAAGTCTGAAAACTGGTGGAGACTAAGATGGCTCCAAAACTACAGCTATTTTGCATTTTCACAAAGGACATGCTAATCCCGCACAGCAAAACCTTTTGCAGTAACAGAAATGTTCTATGTGTGTTGTTCAATATGACAACTATATGTTGCTACTGAGAAATTAAAAACTTTAACCTTTTATCATTCTCATTAACTTTTATTGTCACATGTGGCTGGTGGCTATCACACTGAACTTTAATCACTCTGTGTGGATACTTAATAAACAAACTTAAGGTATCTGTTTTAGTGGGTCTCTTTATTTTTCCACATTCATTAAATTATAAATTAAGCTTCACAAGGATTCACTTCCTTATGAATTTTAATTTTTAAAAATGACAGACAAATACACAATACACAAATACATAATTAGTGTTTGAAAAAAGTAGATACTTTACCAGCGCCATCTGAATCCTCTACCATTGGGTTTATTTCTACCATGGTTGCATCGTATTTTAGAAAAAGGTTGTAAAGCTTGACCATGTTATCTGCCGCAGAATCCACAGTGTTAGCTGGAAATCCCATCTTCTGTGCAAGCTGAAAGCAATTTGTCTCTTTATTACAGGTATGTTGCAGATGTTGAATTAACACTAAATTATCTTGAAAACCCATGTATATTTAACTGTTAAGTGTCATTTATTTTCAAACAGTAGTCACTGAAATAGCAGCTATTATTACTAAATAGTTAAACAAAACTGAATTCAAAATATCCACAAGGCAGGCAATATGCCAATTTTACAAATAAGAAAGAGATACAGAGAAGTCAAGTGACTTGCCATTCACCTAGATTCCAGTTCCAGTGTTTATTCCATAGCCTTCATACTGCCTCTAAGCCTTTTGGCCAACCTAAACTGAAAAAAGAGGCTCATATTTTATTAAAACTGCAAATTAAAGATGGACTGCAATGGTCCAAATGATGGCCAAAATATTTAAACCTCCTTATTTAACTATACTTTAGGCAACTGATGGAGAGTGTCAACTAAACAATGAAGACACATCTAGTCAAAGGAACACCAAACATGAGCACCTAATATAAGGTAGATTCATAAGATACAGGTAAAATTTCTAATTTCTTAGATGATCAAGTTAAAAAATGTCATTTTTTGGTTTAAACATTTCAAACAAAGAGTAAGAAAAGATAAAGTGGTATATCATTAGGAAATATTTATTTTCTTTCTTCCCCACCTCCTCTCTCTTTTGGTTCTTTGGAGCCACACCCAGCAGTGCTCAGGGCTTACTTCTGGCTCTGGGCTAAGGAACCCTCCTGGTGGACCATAAGGGATACTGAGGATTGAATCCAGGTCAGCAGTGTGTAAGACAAGCACCCTACCTGGTATCTCTCGAGCCTCTCATTAGGAGAAATTTTCACTTAAAAGATTTTCAAACCCACTATTTAAAATGGAATATTTGAGAATTGTGCAATTTTATCAACCCAATATGCTATTAATTTGCCATGCACTGGAGTCGATATTATATATGTTAATCACTCTAAATGCCATAACCCTAGCATATTATTTCTTCAACTATTCTCATAAATCAAGCATTTTCCGGGTTAGTAAAAGACTCAGAGACCTGGAGAGCATACTTTGCATGTGTAAGCCCTAGCACTCAGTTCAACTCCCAGCACTGCAAAGTCCACAAGGCACCACGATAAGTGACAAATAAACCAAATATTTCTTTTCTCAACTGAGTTTTTCTTTCATCACTCTCACTTAACGACCTAAAGAATCAAACCCTTGTCCTTTTTAACCATTTATTCCAGTCATTTGCCTTTACAGATCTGCTGTGATCTTTATCAGAATAACTTCTCTAACTCATTTCCCTTAAATCCCACTATATTTTAGTATCATAAACTAACTTTAACACAACTTCCCCACTGTTATTAACTTCATTCAAGTTTCGTATTTATTGGTTTGGGGGTTTTATTCTTAACTTTTTGTGTGTGTATGAAGGTACTAAATCCAGAGTCTCACATGTTGCGAGGTAAGTGCTCTATTATTGAACCACAACTCTAAATCCTTTCAAATTTTCATTTTAGAGGGGTTACTTGTGTTCAATATCCAAACTAAATAACAGTAGCCCTATGGTTCCATAAAACATACAGCAAATAAACGAATGGCATGAATGTGTGAAATGCCATCATTGGATGTAAAATCCATACTAAGAGAAAAAAACAAAGGATAATCACCAGTTCTTTTCAGCAGATGAAATATAAAAAGAAAAATCTACAGGTTAGAAAATAGTCATGAAATACATTAACCAATAGTAATGAAGGACCTTATAAGGATCCAGATTCAAATTAATTATAAAAGAAAAAATTTAAAACAGGGATCTATCTAAATGACTATGTGAGTAATAAGAAGAAATGAATCATTAATTTTATTAGGTATGATATGATATAGTGACTATTTGAAAAGACAGCTTTAAGATTCAGAGCGATACTAAGATAGGCAGCTTGGTTGGCTCCCTAACACACCAGATGGCCCGCTGAGCACCAACAGGAGACAATAATAAGCCCTGAGAACTACTACCTGTGGCCCAAAAAAACAATAAAATAAAATATTTATGGAGAATAGAGGAAAATGTTGTAGATGCTTAAAGTTTCAGTGTGAAACAATACATTAACAATGGAAGACCAAAATAAAGCTGGTTTTGTCAACCATTTCACTGGTACAATTCAATCAAAAGCTAAACATGTTTTAGAATTCAACATACCCGGACAGCTTGTTCCTTTTTGATTCCTTCTACAATATCAATAGGTTCCTTAACAATGGCCTCTGGAGTCTCAGCAGCAACATCTTCAATGTTGACACCACCTTGAGAACTTCCTATTAGTACAGGACCCTGTCCAGGAACAGACATAACACCTAAGTTTTATGTGAACTCACAGTAAAATTCTAAAATCTGTTTGTGAATATAATCAGGCTGGTACACCAATAGATCCCCATTTCTATATTAAAATCTTCTTGAGAATGTATCCTTGCATCTTCTACATAATGCTCCCTTTTAAATATTCAGGTTAAACAACAAAAAAAAAAAAGAGGAAAAAGGAAAAGGAAAACAATAGCCTGCCTATAAGGGAAAATGATTAAAAATAAATTTAAAAAAAAGAAAAACTTAGACCAAATAATCACTAAAATACGTAATAAAATATAATTTACGCAGTTTCATAAAACTGAAGGGAAATTACTATTTTAAAAGCATCATAAGGTAATTAAAATAGATTATAGATAGCTGAAAGGGCATTACTATTGCAAGTGAATATACAAAGAGCTGCTAAAAAAACTGACGATTATCATAAATAAAATAAGATAAAACATATATATGGGGGTCAGAGTGATAGTACAACAGGTACGGAGCTTGTCATACACGCAGCCAACCTGGGCTCGATCCCTGGCACCCCATATAGACCCCAAAGGCTGCCAAGAGTACAGAGCCGGGAAGGAGTAAGCCCTGAGCACTCCCAAGTATGCTACCCTTCCCCACACAGAAACAAAAAAAAAAACCATATATCATGTACATGTTATTAAATTTAGTCCCAAGTTATGTCCTTTAGTATCAGTAAAAAAAATAGCAAAATTATAGTTTTCTAATTTATGCGTATAAATTATAGTTTTCTAATTTAGTATAAAACAAGTAAAAATCTTTTTTTTTTTAACCTTTTTTTTTTCCTTAATTTTATTGAATCACTGTGAGATAGTTACAAGCTTTCATGTTTGGGTTACAATCACACAATGATCAAACACCCATCCCTCCACCAGTGCACATTCCTACCACCAATATCCCCAGTATACCCCCCCTTTCCCACCCTCCCTCTGCCTCCATGGCAGACAATATTCCCCATACTCTCTCTCTCTACTTTTGGGCATTATGGTCTGCAATACAGACACTGAGAGGTTATCATGTTTGGTCCTTTATCTACTTTCTGCACGTGTCTCCCATTCTGCTCGGTTCCTCAAGCCATCATTTTCTTAGTGACCCCGTCTCTATTCCAGCTGCCTTCTCCCCTTTGCTCATGAGGCAGGCTTCCAGCTATGGAGCAATCTTCTTGTCCCATGTATCTACTATCCTTAAGTGTCAGTCTCATGTTGTTTTATACTCCACATGAGTACAGTCCGTCTATGTCTGTCCCTCTCATTCTGACGCATTTCACTTAGCATGATACTCCCATGTCTATCCATTTATAAGCAAAGTTCATGACTTCATCTCTCCTGACAGCTGCATAATATTTCATTGTGTAGATATATCAAAGTTTCTTTAACCAGTCATCTGTTCTCTAGGGCACTTGGGTTATTTCCAGATTTTGGCTATTCTGAACAGTGGTGCAATGAACATATAGGTACAGATGTCATTTCTACTGTGCTTTTGCATCCTCGGGATATATTCCCAGAAGTGGTATTGCGAGGTCATATGGAAGCTCAATTTCTAGTTTTTGCAGGACTGTCCATATTGTTTTCCAGAAAGGCTGGACTAGTGGGAATTCCCACCAAAGACAAGCAAAAATCTTAACATGCAAAAACTGTAAGAGGGCCTGGATAAAGAAACTGCGGTACTTTTGGCATCTACCCACAGGACATAAAAATACTCCCTCAAAAGGACATATGCACACATTATTATTCACTGCTGCACTCAGTACAATAGCTAAGAGAGGGAATCAATGTAGGTGTCCCAGGACAGATGAATGGATTATATGGATATGCAATACATACACAATGGAATACTATGTAGCTACAAGGAATGATGAAACTATGTAATTTGCTGCAAGCTGGTTGGAACTGGAAGATATCATGGTGAGTGATATCTCAACATGGAGTGATGTCTCTCAGGAGAGAGACATATGCAGGATGATCTCACTTATCTGTGGTATACAGAACACTGATGAAGAAATATACTGTAGTAAAGAGGGGATGCCTAAATCTTTCCCCTTGATCCCAGTGTTTACTGAGGAGAAGGAAAGAAAAGGAAAGAAATCAAAGGAAGAAGGAGAGAACAAGAAATAATGGGTGATCAGGTATCAGGGCTTCAGTTATACTGGTGATATGGGTGAGTGTATAGCTGCTTATCCAAAACATATACTCCATACTAAAAACATGAGATCCAAGCTGCATCCATGTGCCTGTCAAGTTGACAGGTAGGGAAGGGGCAGGGTTTGGGGTATGGAGAGAATATGGGAACACTGGAAGGAAGTTGACACTGGTGGCGTTGAAATATCATATGCCTAAAATTCAACATCAATAACCTTGCAAATCACAGTTCTTTTAAAAAAAGAAAAAAAAAACCTGTGGTATACTCTATTCAAAAGGAGCCAAAGTAATAATACAGCAGGTAGGGTGCTTGCCCAGCACACAGCCAATCCAGGTTCCATCCTGAGCACCCCATATGATGCCCTCATGCCTGCTAGGGGTGATCCCTGAATACAAGGCCATGAGGAAGCCCTGACTACCACTGGATGTGGCCCAAATGCAAAAAGCAAACCAAAGAGAAGTATCAAAAAACATCAAATACCTAGGAATCAACTTAACAAAAGATATGAGATTTATACCATGAAAACTCAGTCATGTAAGAGACAAAGACCTTAGGAAATGGAAAAATACTGCATGGATTTTAAAAATGACCACGATACCTAAATTATTATACAGATTTAATAAAATCCCTAACCAAAATCAATCACATTCTTCAAGAACTTAGAAATGATCAATAATAAAGTTTATATGAAATCATAAAATACCCCAGTTGGTTAAAAATACACTGAGAAATAGGAAATTGGGAGGTCTCTCATTACTAAAAAACAACATTGGAAAGATCAACAAAATCAGCAAATCTTTCACATGAATAACCAAAATAGGAAAGACTCGGAAAGGGAGCACTGTTTGTTTAAAGAAGAAAAGTGGGGTGCTGAGCATTTTTTTGTTTTTAGAAAAGGGAATGCTAGGCCAAATTCATCTGGAACTTCTGCTATATCAAGAAAAAAAGGAAAGAAAACATAATGAAAATGTAAATTTTACCAATACAATAGCACATAAAGGTAAGTGTCATCCCATTTCTGAAATAACAAGATTAAATTCTGCCATATAGAGGTATAGATATCACACACAAAGAAGAGTGTTTTTTAACATAGATATTCTGAGTGGGTTTTTACTACCATCTAGTGTTTTACCTTAAGAAATACTTTCTTGGTCTGAAGATCTAAGAAGAGTTAAGCCCTGAGCACCACTGGATGTGGACCGAAAAACAAACAAACAAAAAAATAAAACACAAGAGATGGGAAACAGTACAGCAGTTGAAGCTCATGCTTGCTTAACAGGCCCCAGACCTGGGTCAGATTTCCAGCAACTCATGGTCTGAGCATTGCTAGACCTTCTAGACCTTGCACTGAACTTCAGTTGGTCAAGCACAGCTGATCAAGAATTGCTGGTGAGGAACCTGTACCTCCTGTCCAATGTTTTGAAGGCCCCCAAAAATAAAATGTAAAATGAAACAAAAAAGAGGGGCCAGAGAGATAGTGCAGTAAATCAGGTGCTTGCCTTGCACGAGGACATTATAGGTTCAATCTCTGTCATTCCATATGGTTCTCTGAGCAATACCAGCAGCAATTCCTGAGTACTGAGGCAGGAGTAATCCCTGTACACAGCTAAGTGTGGCCCCCAAAGCAATAAAAAAAATTTAAAAAAAGAATTTTCTTATCAAAAATGCATATCAAAATAGTTTAAATTATCATTCAAATATAAGTAAAAGATTTATATAATGATAGGGAGTTTCTTGTCCTCCCATTGTTCATCGATTTGCTTGAGCAGCCCAGTAATGTCTTCATTGTGAGACTTCTTGTTACTGTGTTTGGCATACTGAATACTCTTGGTAGCTTGCCAGACTCTCCAAGAGGGGCGGAAGAATCGAACCCGGCCCAGTCGGGCTGGCTGCGCACAAGGTAAACGCCCTACCACTGTGCTTTAGGGAAAGAACTCAATATAGAAGTTTTTTGGTTTTACTTAAAACTGTTTTAAGTAAAACTATTTTCACAAATCTTAAACATTTTGCAACAGTACAAATTGCAAAATTATTAATGTTCTACATCAAATCCATACCAGGGCTTATAAAAACGCTAGTTGAGGTGAAGGGACAGGTGTTGGAACATTGTATGACTGAAACCCAATCATGAACAACTTTGTAACTGTATTTCACAGTGATTTAATTTAAAAAAAAAAAATACTAGTTAACACATAGATTCAGCTTATAAAACTTAACCAGTGCACTGAAGAAGCCAGATAATTACAGTATAAAATGAATCACCAATTCCTTCTCCGAAAAGGATTTCTCTTCACCTATGTCTAACTCTTTAGTGAAGGAGTCACACTCCTTAAAATCACATGGTTTGCTGCTAAATACCACCTTTCATTTAAGTACCAGTGCATCTCTTTACTGAAATAAACCCCAAACTCTCAAACTACCAGGAGGCAAAAAGGAGAAAAAGATAAAGCCAGAAATATACATTCCCTTAACAGATTCCAAGACTTTCTCTTTAACTAGAATATTCTACTCTATTGGAAACTGTTGTCGCAGTCTATAGCATTCACAGATAAATCAGAGGGCTTAAGTTGTTAAATCGTTCTTTGCAAATTAACAATTTGAAAATCCTGTTTTAAAAATTTTATATTTTAAAAAAAGAAATTTTTTTAACCATGTTATATCAAATCTTAAGATATTAATATGCAGTTTATATTCATTCATTCATTCATCATCCTGTTAATCGTCGATTGCCTCGAGCAGGCCCCAGTAACGTCTCTTTCATCCTAGCCCTGAGATTATATTCAAGGCTTTTTAGGAGAATGAGACCCATCATTGTTACTGGTATTTGGCATATTTGGTGCGCCACGGGGAGTTTGCCAGACTCTGCCCTGTGGGCAGGCTATATTCGATAGCCTGCAAGTTTGTCCAGAGTAGGAATGGGATAATGAGATATCATAAAAAGATGTTCTGATAAGATGTCAGAACCTGCACTTAATATGCAGTTTATAATTGACATAAAAATATGTGCTTCTGATATGTACAGATCATGGATCATCTTTTTGGGGGGAGGGAGCCACACCTGGGTATGCTCAAGGGTTACTTCTGGTTCCGCATTCAGGAATCATTCCTGGTGGTGCTCAGAGGACCATGTGAGATGCCAGAGATCAAACTAGGGTCAGCAGAGTGTAAGCCTTACCTGCTGTACTATCTCTCCAGTCCCAAGGATCATATCTTTTAAGTCTTTCCCATAGAAAGCTGGAGAGCTAGTACAAGAGCTAAGGTGATTGCTTTATATGTGGTCAATCCCAGATCTGATCTCTGGCATCAGATATGGTTCCCTTAAACCCTGCCAGGAGTGATCTCTGAACAGAGAGCCAGGAGTAAGCCCCAAAAGTAGCTGAGTGTGGCTCCAGAACAAAATTTAAAAATCTATCCCATAAAAATTAAAATTTTAAATAACTTTTGAAACTGAATTAATAAATTCATCTGAACTTTCTACAATTACTCACCTGAAACGTCCTCTCCATTGTTATTGCAAAGTAGTATTCTCTCCTGGGATATCTTCGCTCACAAACCAATACTTGGTTGCATATTCTGCCCTTTTCTCCTGTTTGCTTGGTGAATAATTTTTTCCCAATCATTTGTGAGGAAACAGCTTTTGCTTCTTCTGGACTAAAGTAAGAAAAAGAATTCAAATTCTTTTCTCCTCCAACTGAGAAAAACACACAATCTCAGCCACAATCTTATATCACATATTTAAGTAATTATTTTCATCTATCTGTGGCTTCTTTGGTTAGCTGGTTGGTTTTGTTTAGTTTTGAGGTCACACCTGCCAGTGCTCAGGGCTTACTCCTGGCTCTGCGCTTAAGGATCACTGAGGAGGACTTAGGGGATTGTACAGGATGACAGGAATCAAACCCGAGTCAGCCGTGTGCAAGACACATGTCTACTATTACTCTGACCAAGAAGCATCTTTTACAATTTTTTCGCTAATAATAAAATGTTTTCTTTAAGAAAATATGACTTACGAAAAAACTATCTTCACTCCTCCTTTGAGGCCACTTTCAAATGTTCCTTTTCCTCTGCCACCAGCTAAAACCTGTGCCTTAATCACAACATCTTTCGTACCTGAATGAAAACATCTGTATTAGATAAAATGTAAAGAGCAGCATGCAAGACAGGTTGTTTTTTATTAGTTATATATACTAAATAATGGTATTGAAAAGTGTTGCATTCTCATTTACCCACAATGTCATGAAACATTTCATATACGTGTCTTTTCTAGTTTTAAAACACCAAAACATTCACCATCTAAAAATTTAAAAATAATTATATACATCAAGCCATTCATTAAAGTATACTGAAAATGATTTTATCTTTCCTTCACAAATTAAACATCTAGTGCCTCTGGAACACTGGAGTCATGTTACTCTGGAAACATCTACTGCTTTTTGAAGGTACAGAAAACACAAAATTTAAACTGAAATACCTTTCTCAGGGTCCCCACCCTAGCCATTGACATGTGAATCTGCTATCTGTGAAAATTTGAGTAATAAATGCTACTTTGAGAAGAAATATACTGACTTATGGGGTAGGTGCTAGTACTGATACCGATTTACATCATCCCACCATAGAAAAACCTGTTAATAAACATTCTTGAGCTGTTTTGTTGTATGGAGTACTACCAGGAAGAAATCTGAAATGTTTATTAAAAGGTTTCTCATACACCACATATACTCCATGAGGATATTATACGAGTTTTATCTTCAAAATTTATCCAGAACACAACATCACCTCCAGTTTGGACTCTGGCCCCAGGCACCATTATATTCCATCTAGATTACCCTTTGTCACCCAGCAGAATATTCCCAAAGCATGGGCCTGCGTGACAGTACAGTGGGTATGGAGTTTGCCCTGCATGCTGCTGACCGGGTTTGACTGCCTGCATCCCATATGGTACCCCAAGCACCACCAAGAATAATTCCTTAGTGCAGAGCCAGGAGTAACGGCCCTGAGCACTGCTGGACGTGACTCAAAAAAAAAAAAAAAAAAAAGAACAACAACAAAAGAATATTACCAAAACCGCAAAGTGAACATTTCATTCCTCTACTTAAAAAAACCTTACAGTGAACGGCCATACTCAATGTCAAAGCTCTTATCATGCTCTCATCTTTTATACATCCTATGCCCTCCTTCTTACTCCGCATTCCATTTATTCTAGTCTCCACTGTTGCTGGGTATGTTGCTACCTTCAAGCTGTGGCTCTAATGCTCCCCCTGACTGGAATGCTTCCATGCATTCATCCACATAAGAAAAGTTTCTACTTAAAGTATAAAACCTCCCCATTCAAGTTTATAATTAAATCTCACATCATCCATGAAGCCTATCACCCTCCTACTATAGCCTGCCTACCTCTGACCAATTTCACTTATCTGCTTCATTTGTTTCTGTAGAAATAACAATCTTCCAACATTCTGCTTCATTTCCTCATGCTTATCTTTTGTTTTACTTCTCCATTCAAACATAGGCTCCAGGAGGGTAAAATATTTATGTAAGATGTTTGTTTTAAAGGCTACCTAATAATGGTTACATACTGAGAGGGTTCCTAACATATGATGTTTTTCTGAATGTTGAAAATAAATCCTTTTAATAAAAAATTATTTCAAATTTAGATTTTCCGCTATTCTTAAAAAAATTCATTATCTGGTCCTCAAACAGAACTGATTAGACACACCCTGTTTACATAGGCCCCCTTTTAATTTGCTATAGTCCCCACCATTCCCAAGTATAAAAACAAATATTAGGGGCCAGAGAAATAGTAAAGAGGGTAAGGCATTTGCCTTGCATGTGACCTGGGTTTGACTGCTGGCATCCCATATAGTCCCCTAACCACGGACAGGAATGATCCCTGAGTGCAAAGCCAGGAGTAAGGCCTGAGCACTGTGGGCTTCTCCCCCACGCCCCACACCCCCCTCAAAAAAATTAGATGAAGGTTAGAGAGAACTTAGAAATTTCCTCTAAACTAACAACAAGCTTCTTACTGAGACAACAACAGGCAGCCCAAGGGCTATGGCAAATAAGAGAGAATATATCTAAACAAAGAGATGCAGTCGCCAATAATTTTATCTATTTCTGACTCCCTGCTAAAATAGTTTTCCTGAACTTTAAAAATATTCATTAATATCTAAATAGTGCCGGGGGTATGGTGCCACCTGCAGGTCAATCTGTACCTATGAGGCGAGTGCACCAGCAGCCTGATGGTACCTTCAGACTTCCAGATACCCGAAAATTGCTGCTGTGCCTTTGGCCAGACTCCAAAAACTTGGGGCAAAGTTTACCAAGAAAGTAAACGGCCAAAAGTTAAGGATGTGAGAGACACACCAACAAACCACCTCTGGTTTAGCTATATAATTGGAGGGAAGGCCTCTCTGGTTCCTGATCAAACTGCTGAATAGCATGATCCCAGAGACTCAGAAACAAATCTCGGAACCCAGCGGCTTTTGGCAGAAATGAATCCGGTCCTTGCAGCAGGTTACTGGCGCCGGACCACCCCAGGTGGGAATACGTTTCATGCTTTGGCCTGTTCCCCCTAGTGGCTCGGTGGCTGCCATGCTCCAGAGGCCACGGGACAGTCAGGTTTGGGCCCACAGTGACAAGACACATGGGGCCTCACAGAATGGGGGTGGAGCCGGCCCTTTCCTCCCCACCCCAACAAGACCCTGAGTCGTCACCCACAAATGGTCTCTCTGGCTCCTGATCAAGCTGCTTAATGGCCAGGATCCCAAAGACTCAGAAACAAATCATGAAACCCAGCAGCTTTTGGCAGAAATGCATCCAGACCCCTCAGTAGCATACTATCACCGGGCCACCCCAGGGGGAAAGGGTGCTGTTCCTCCGCATGCTCCCCCTCCCCGACTCGGTGGCCGCCATCCTCCAGAGGTCACTGGACAGGATTGAGCCCACAGTGATAAGACACACAGGGCCTCACAGGATGGGGATGGAGCCGGCCCTTTCCTCCCTGAGAGACCCCGAGTCGCCAACCATGAACAGTCTCTCTGGCTCCTGATCTAGCTGCTTAATGGCCATGATCCCAGAGACTCAGGAACAAATCTCAGAACCCAGCAGGTTTTGGTAGAAATCCCTCGAGATTTAATTGTTAAAATTTCGGAATTTCAAAATCGCATGCTCACTACTGCGGCCTCGCAACATCATATGTTACTCATAACCAGCAATAGAAAACAAATTGTCTACTGTTGCCTTTTCAGCAGATCTGAATGTTGGGGTAAAATCCCAAATAACAATGGTGGGTTTGGTGTCGAAGTATTGAATGTAATCAAAGTAGAGAGAGTAATGTGGAAATCATCTTCCCCACTGGTAGGGGGAGGGTGTGGAATGGGGTCATATTGGGGTCTTTGGTGGTGGAGAATGGGCACTGGTGAAGGTACAGGTGTTTCACTGTATGACTGAAACTTAAACCCAAAAGCTTTGTAACTGCTCTCACGGTGATTCAATAAATAAAATTATAAAAAAGAAAAAAAAAAAGTTAAGGTGGAGTTCATGCCCAATTCAATCAGCCTAATAAATGGTTGAATAAATAGCAATACATAAAAAAATATATATATATATAGTGCCAATATAATATGAAAATGATCAGTACTTAAAACTAGTGCTCTGTATAGCTAAATTAAAAATCTTATTCACCAACATTGGTACTCAGAATACTTGCATATTAAGTAATGAAGTTGTACACCTTCAAATATTTGTAAAAATATTTTACAAAGCAGCAGATTCTTTCCTCTTTAGGAATATAAACTCTTCAACGGCAGAAATCAATCTTCAAAAGACATGATTTCTAGGAAAGCCTTCACGACAAATGTCACACATATACCAATTAATGACAATCTCTTTGACCATCAAGATGAGGAGGAACAGAAGTCTCAGGACACTGACTGAAACAAAGATATTCAATTCCTTAACTTTTTCAACAGTTACATCTACATACGAGTTACTGTGTTAAAATTGTAGATACAATAATGTGTAAAAGATACTTATTCTGACCTTACACAGCTTACAGTCTTTGTAGGTTTTACACTTTATTCTAGTCAGAGAGGATCTTCAATGAATTCCCAAGAGATTTACATCAGCATATACTCACTACTCTTATAACCTTTAGATACTAATAAATGTGTTAAGCCTTCAAAGCTCATCTAATAAAATAAGGGAAACAAAAAAATAAAGCAGACCCTAATGGATGTGTATACTATTAGAAATCTCCTTTTAGATTAAGGGTAGTCAATAAACACGATCTTTAACATATATCTTCAATCAAATAGAAATTCTCCCTTAATTATACTAAAATTAAACTGATTATATGCTTAAATGTATATAAATTATGCTAAAATCCTAAGTCAACATTTCCAGTCAATAGAAAAATTGTAAATCTGCCAAATACCTTACTATAATCAATTTTTTTGAAAATTTAGCTCGCTTAGTAAAGAGAAGGCAATGGCCCCTTAGAACAGACCCTAAATTATTGACTTTCTTTCACAACCACCCTTTCAAAATCCACTTCAGAAAATGTTCAAACTCAACAATATTCATTTTGTGAATTCATGTAATTCTAAAAACAATAGAATTAAATTTTGTCCCTTCTATTTTTTCTTTTCCAAATTCAAATATTCACATGTAAAACCTGCCTCTAACTTCAAATATTCACATGTAAAACCTTCCCAACCTTGTGGACATCATGACACAAAGAATATGATTTAGTTTATAGACCAAACTGTGGAAAGAGGCTAGAATTCGTTCCAGGAATCACCAGCTTTAAGAATCAGCAGTCAGGGCTGGAGTGATAGCACAGCCCGTAGGGCGTTTGCCCTGCACGCGGCCTACCCGGGTTCGATCCCCAGCATCCCATATGGTCCCCTGAGCACCGCCAGGAGTAATTCCTGAGTGCAGAGCCAGGAGGAACCCCTGTGCATCGCCGGGTGTGACCCAAAAAGCAAAAAAAAAAAAAAAAAAAAAAAAGAATCACATGTTGGAACTCAGCTTCACCTGCTACCCAGACGACTAAGGGAAGCAATGGATTACACCACCTGCAATGCATTTATTTTCTCATACTGTCAGAGAGGTAAGAGGATTTAATAAATGGAAATTAGCTTTTTGTGAACTTTGCAATAATATAAAGAAGCCAAAACCACCAAAAGAAAGAAAATTGGAAAATACTAGTAGATGGCTAGAACCAGAAATATAACGATTCTATTATATTCCTAAGGGCCTTCATTCTGTATCTTGTAAAATTCTGTCCCATAATCATAATCTTCTGGTACTTATTTACTTGTTGCAAGACAAATAGGGGGTGGGATGGTACAGCAGTTGACCAGGATTCAATCCCTGGCACCACATAGCCCCTCAAGCACTGGCTTCCCAGAGAACCACCAGTTCTGGCCCTGGGGATCCCCAAGACCGCCAAGGTATCACAGACAACACAGGGCCTGGGCAGCACAGCATCCTCGGGCTCTTGCAGTGAACCACCAGTTGAATTGGTCAATAATGCTGGTGGAGATCCTGGACTTCCTGAGCACCACTGGGAGTGCCCCACAAAAAAAGACAAAATGCACTCACAGCCCTCATATGAAATGCCTTCTTAAAGGTAGTATCTGCTCTTCTTAATTCAAAGAATCTCATTAGCCACTAATCCTACTCCCACACTATAATCATTATTCACAACTTTCTTTGACAAGAACATACTTTGTTGGCCCAGGAATGCTGCTGAGTGGTCAAGTGCAGGCCTCACAGGTGAGACCTTCCCCATAAAAATAGAAATAGGAATTCAGCTTCCGAGAACCAATACACATTATTTTGAAAATTAGTACCAAGAGCTTCTAATAATCACATAATAATTTTAGAATGTCAGGTCATAAAGTTCTGCTTTCTCCTCTTTTATGCAAATAAAATCTGTTAAGAAAAGCTACAAGTTGTTACAAAACCAGAAAGTAGATTTCATGTTATCAGAGTTCCTGAGTCAAAGTGCCCTAAGTTTTTCTTAATTTAGTACCTAATTTTTTGGCAATTGCATAAGCTTCATCTGGAGACTTAGCCACTTGTCCTTTGGGAACAGAGACACCAGCTTCTTGCAACAATTCCATACTCATGTATTCATGTAATGAGAGATTCCTTTGCTGTTGCTGCTGTACTTGGAGTCCATGGTTGTTAAATAGTCCAGAACTTCCCAGAACCTAGAAAAATTGGGGATATGTTTATAAGACAATGATCTGACAGTTATTCTTGTTTAAAAATATTTCAAAATGATTTGTATAGAATTCCTGGTTCCCATGAACATAGTCAAAATACTACATTAAAAGATGAAAATGCAGGATTGGAGCAATATTATGGTGGGGCATGTGCTTTGTATGCGGCTGATGCATCTGGATCTCTGGCACCCCATAAGGTCCCCCAAGCCCACCAGGAATGATCCCTGAGAACAGAGCCAAGAGTAAGCCCTGAGCACTGGTCAGTAAGGTCCAAATAAACAAGAGATAAAAATATAATATTAAATATACCTAAATAAATTACAACGTAAAACCACAGGCTATAAGCTAAGTATCAAATTTTGCTGTATAGTTTTCATTATTTCCTCATCATTTCTAGCCTTTACCTTTCATTTTTGTTATTGATTCTTTTTTTTATTTTGTTGGGGGGGTGCTCTGACTTGATATTAATAGTGCTCTGGGGACCATGTGATGCCAGAGATTAAACAAAGGCTTCATGCAAAGAATGTGCTCCAGCCTTTAGAGCCATCTCACTAACCCTAGTCCATATCTTTCAACTGGGCTTTTTCCTACAGTAACTCTAATAGCCCATGAAATATCTCCATCACGCTAAATTCTGCAGCTCTAAAACCAATCTCATCTTTTCCACCAAAGCAAAACTTTCAAACTTTCCTCTCTTCACCATTCCCCCAGCATCAAACAAACGGCCTCACGCTACATATAAGGTAAATGAACAATTTGGTACTTTATCCTGTCACACATTCAAGACTTTACTCTCTGGCTTCTTCAATGGTGACCATTATGCTGCGCTATCCAGAAACCCCCCATCAGGACCAAGGCATACACAGTCCCAGTTGCCAAGAGTGTTGATGACAGTGTTCAGCTGAGCCCGCTCACTGTCACCTTCCTACCCGAAGTCACACCTTTTTCCTATTGTCAGTTTCCAGTGACTGATCAATGTGCGTTAGGGAGGTATGTCAAAATATGAAGAGTCACCCCAACTTCAGATCCACTCTACATTTAACTTAAATGATCCATCCTAGTTTCCCCCACTGGAATGGCAGGAGTCCCTAATGCAACGCCACTATTTTTACTTCTACTTAATTCTCATTTCGTCACTCTCCCACAAATGTTGAACCAGAGATCACTTGGACCACGGATAACATCTTGAATGCATCCCTTCTAAATAATTTCCTTAACTAGTACCTCCTTAAAAAACCCAGTTGTACAATGGGAGACTAATACCCAAGAATAGTAGAGATAAGTACTAGGAGTTCTGCTCCACAACTTGGAAGCCTACCTCACATGATGGGGGAAAAGACAGCTCAGATACAGAAGGGAACACCAAGTAAAGGGTGTTTGGAGGACCCACTTGGGATGGGAAATGCGTGCCAAAAGTAGTAGATTATAGACCAAACATGATGACCACTCAATACCTCTACTGCAAACCACAATGCCCAAAAGGTGAGAGATAACAAAAGGGACGGACTTGCCACAGAGGCGGGGTGCGGGTGGGGGTGATGGAGGGATACTGGGATCATTGGTGGCAGAGAATAGGCACTGGTGGAGGGATAGGTACTCGATCTCTGTATGACTGAAATGCAAACACAAAAGTTTGTAAATCTGTAACTGTACCCTATGGTGATTCACTAATAAAAATTTTTAAAAATTAAAATAAAAAACAAAACAGTTGTTTGTCTTTAAAAACCAGACTGCAAAAGCTCCCATAAAACATTGGCAAAAACAAACTCTTCTTTTCAATCTATGTAGAACAAAGGTTCCCAAACTTACTTAGCCTATCACCCACTTCTCACAAACAATCATTCAACACTCCATACCCCACCACAACCAACCTGGAAATCTATCTACTTAAAGCAAACAGTGGCGCCCAATTGCTCCTGAGGTTATTACTTCCCGAGTACTGTTCAGTACCACCATCCTCCGAGGTGTGTATTGCCCACCTCGGGAAACACTGATACAGAATATTCATTCATTTTGGAAATAAAAACAATAAGACAAAAATCCTTACACTTAATCTAACACTAGATAGAGGAAATTCTGTGTTTGAATTTGAAGGGAACTGACAATAGTGTGTATATACAAATATATACATATATATATAATAAGGTTATGCCAGAGAGTGCTAAGAAAAAAAAGTTCCTTGGTAGAACTGAATTAGAATTACTCTTTCAAAGAAAGAAGCAGAAAATAGAAATAAGATGTCCTTCTTCCAGCTAATAAATTGGAAAGGGAAAGGAGTGTTCAAGTTGGCCTTTAAGCTTCCTGTGGTAAAGTCATAAAAATAAGAAGTGCTAAAGGAAAGACATACATCAGGACGATCTCTAGCATCTACAGGTCCCAAAGCTCCGCTAATTTACACCCTTGTCTTAAACCAACAAAAATATAACAAATACTATCCTCCTTTTTCCCAAATTCCTCAATTCTACCGACTTTATATAGTAAATACAAAGAACAAATCAAGCCATTGAAAGCCTTGGAAAATGATCATGAAATCATACTTTTAAAGTGTTATCTATATATCTCCATTATCTACAGAGAACATAGGATACTGAAATATAGTTCATAAGAAGCAAACATTTAAATGAGTCTTAGAATAAAAACGTCTTTTTCTTAAAGGGACAATGTGAAATATTTGCAACAAAACTATCTGGTAGACTTCTAAAAATGCAGCACCTCTTAAGACTCACTCACAGTAAGTTTAAGGTGAAAAAAAATCACGTATCAAGAGAAACTGGGAGCTTGTCTTATGCTCAGCAAACCCAGATCTAATTTCAGCACTGCATATGGTCCCCCAAGTCTTCTTCCAGGAGTGATTCCAGGAGTAAGCTGTGCTCCCACCCATCCCTAATGCCCCCAGCAAAAAAATCACTTAACCTATTACTGGCTAACTCAAGGAACTAAATTGAAAGTATTATAGCTTTAAAAAGAATAATAGGTCTTCATCAATTCATTTATGGCATGTCTGAGTTATTCAGAACAGAAATGAAATTCTGGAATTGCAAGCAAAAATGAGGCTCTTTCTCCGGTGTCAACGCTGGGAAGAAGAGGCCAATTCCTATGTTCTGGTGGAAAAAAACTGTAGACCAATTTCAAGCACATAGGTTTTGGAAACAGTTGTGGAATCTATATCAGTTACTGTTTAAGTAATATGGCTACAATAGTGTCAAGGTTAATGGCATTGATGTCCATAATTACTGCACTCCACCAGCACTGAAGCACCGAAGCACCTAAGTCAACCCTTCACCACGAACCTGTGTCACTTCTAGTCTGACCTCCTCACCTCTCCCTGCTGGGTCCTGTCCGCTTTGTAACCCAGGGCCAAGGATTTGTCACTGCTCCTACAGGCTAAGCCCTTGTTCTGTTTAAATCCCACAGACAAGCGAGACCATCCCATCTTCATCCGAACACGGAGCACTCCGTTTCCATCCCCAAAGTCGGGCACTGCACACCCTCGCCCTTTTCCTGACAGCGGCAGGCAGGTGCACGGTGCACCCCCACTTCTTGATTCCCTTCACCCCGACAGCTGTGGGGTGCAGCCCCCGCTTCCGTGGGGCTCGTGGGGCTGCAGAGGGATCCCGCACAGGAAAAACTCATTCGGAGCCGCGCGCGGGGCACCCGCTCCCCTCACCCGACAAACACGGCGACGGCGCAGCCCAAGTCTCGTGGGGGGGGGGGGGTGGGGGGGCAACGAAGCGATCCCGGTTTTCTCACTTGTCCAAGTGGGAGAATGGGAACCATCGCTGTGTTGCTACTATGAACCACCACCACCAGCGTTACACAACTCCGTCGTGGGGGGTGGGGGTGGGGGGAGACGGCAGAAAAGGCCGGTCAGCGAGCACCGCTTGGTCCAGTGAACTCGCCTCACCCGCCCCCCCCCCCCGCCCGGGCTCCCGAGGGAGTGAGAGTACGTCTGAAGGGCATTGCTCCCCACTCCCCAAACCAGGGCTGCGGCAGCGTCGCCCACTCCCCCTCGGTGGGGGCACGCCCCAGAAGTGCCCCCCGGCTCCCTCCCCCTGCGCTCAGACACCGACGCCGCCCCCTCCCCCGCCGCCGCCCCCCGCGCTCCTGTGCGCCCCCCCCCCCCCCGCCACACTCCCCACAGACAGCGGCGAGCGCGCGGGCACCTCGCCCCCTCGCTGGGCACTTCCCGGGCCCGCCGCCCCTGCCGACCCGCGGAGGCGCCCCGAGGTCGCGCGGGGTCACCGGACCGCAGAGCGACCCCCGCCCCGAGTCCCCACGCGCCTCGCCCACCCGAGTCGGCTCGCCGCCCTCAGAAGGCGCCCGCGGACGGGGCCGCAGTTACCTGCGCGGCCGCCCGCAGCGCCGTCTGGGGCCGGTGGCTCCGGAGGGTGGTCCCGGCCAGCAGCCGGCTGTAGAACATGGACGCCGCCATTTCTGTGTCCGACCCCGTCCCCTGGGCGCCCCGCGCAGGCGCAGACACGCGGCCCGACGCTGCGGCTCCCACCGCGCTCGCTGGCCCCGGCCCCACCCGTCCGGGCGGGGCCTCGGGGAAACGCTGCTGACGCCGCCCGCCCGCCCCCCCCCCCCAGCGGGGCAAAGGCTGGAGCTTTCCAGCTGACGCGAAGCTGGGCTGGGCTGGGCAGGGGCAGGGCATGCAAACTTTGACCTTTAAAACTTGGGAGCGTAACCTTGACAGTTCGGACTGCGCCCTGCAAGCCACCTGGGCCCTTTCTAGTGACTTGTGACGGGAAACGGGTGTTGCTGAGCTTCACCCAAGCCGCAGTTCCCTCCTCCGTGAGATGGAGTTCGTGCAGAACGCTTGTTCTGGATTGCATTGTTTCCTTGGGATACCGCGGGAAGAAGTCAAAGGTTTCGCTTTCGAGGAGAAGATGGGCGGCTGCCACTAAATTACCAACCCTGACGGCTTCCCCTGATGTGAAGCCCTTCATCTGCTCGCATAATCCAGGGCCCCGGATTCAATCTCTGCCAATGATGGTCTCCCAAACTCAGGAATCACCCCTGGTGGTGTTCGGGGGACCATACGGGATGGCCTTCTCGTGGAAAAATACAATATTCCAAGTAGGCTTGATTTGTATGTATTTTCCCATAAGGGGAAGACACTGTGGGATGTCAGGGATTACTCGTTCTGAACCCGGGGGTGCTCAGGGTTTACTCCCAGCTTTCCACTCAGGAACCTCTCCAGGCGGTGTTCAGAGGACTACATGGGATGCCGGAAGGGAATGGAAGCAAGATTGGTCACAACCAAGGCACACACCCTACCCACTGTACTGTCAGTCTAGCCCCCCAGGAGTAAAGTGCTTTTTGCATGGAATCCCTTCCCTTCCTAATTCATATGAGGAACTGTATAGACTTGGAATGGTGCTGGCTTCGCCTTAAAGAAGCTGTCAATAAACACATTTAAAATAATGTGAATCAACTTTTTCTCTACCAAAGGAAAGTTAAAATATACAAAATAGAGTTTGGGGCCAGAGCGATAGTACAGCGGGCAGGGCGTTTGCCTTGCGCACAGTCGACCCGGGTTCCATCGCCAGCTTCCCATATGGTCCCCGAACACTGCCAGGAGTGATTTCTGAGTGCAGAGCCAGGAGTAACCCCTGTGCATCACTGGGTGTGACCTAAAAAGCAAAATTAAATAAAATGATTTAAAAAAGAGTTTTCTTCCCTTTGGAATTAACTATTGATGTATATTCATGGTCTTAAATAGAGCTAGAAGTGGCAATAACAGTAGATATCAATTATTGAAAGAATTGTCCAGAAAAAAACTGTCCAGAAAAAGAGGACATATAGAAAAAGGAGAGTTCCATTTCAATGTATAAATCATTTCATTATGGAGGCAGGCAAATTTATAATTTGCACCAAATTGGAACTCCCCAGAAGAGCTGATATTGCCATTGTAATTCAATAATTAAAACTATTTTCAATTTTGTGTCTTTCCTACCGCACCCACCCAATGCCCCCAATAACTTAGAGGTGTCTGGGTGGTTCAGAAAGCTAGTTGACTTGAGACTTGCGGCTTGAAGGGTGTGGCAACTTCTCCATCGGAGAAGCTATTTTGTTATATTCTTTTGACTTGGAGCCAAAATAAAATCTTAAGAATATCCACAGGGAGAATAGTACATGAGGTAAGGTGCCTGCTAACGACTGACCCTGGTTCAAAACTTTAACACAACATATAGTCCCTTGACACCTCTGGAGTGATCCCTGAGCACAGAGCCAGGAGTAACTCTTGAGTACAGCCAGGTGAGGCCCTTAAAAGGAATTCTTTTGTACTGATAGGAACTCCATGCCTCAAAATGGGCACTGGTGGAGGGATGGGTATTTGATCATTATATAATTGAAACCCAAGCACAAAAATTTGTAAGTCTACAACTGTACCTCATGGTGTTCTACTGTCACTGTCAGTGTCCTCCCATTGTTCATCGATTTGCTCGAGCAGGCCCAGTAACGTCTCCATTGGAGATTTTGTTGTTACTGTGTTTGGCATATCAAATACATCACGGGGAGCTTGCCAGGCTCTGCCGTGCGGGCGAGATACTCTCAGTAGCTTGCCAGGCTCTCTGAGAGGGGTGGAGGAATCGAACTCGGGTCAGCCATGTTGGCTGCATGCAAGGCAAACGCCCTACCGCTGTGCTATTTAAATTAAAAAAAATTTTTTTTAATTTTAAAAAAGAAATGATAAAAAAATAAAATAAAAAAGAACTCCATGCCTCTGACTAGAACATACTGGTTTATTGGGTGTTTTGTTTGTTTGTTTTTGTTTTGCTTTTTGGTCACACCCAGCAATGCATAGGGATTACTGTTGGCTCTCAGCACTCAGTAATTACTCCTGGTGGTACTCGGGGGACCATATGGGATGCTGGGAATTGAACCTGGGTTGGCTGCGTACAAGGTTAACGCCCTACCCGCTGTGTTATCTCTCCAGTCCTGGTTAGTGGAGACTGTATAGTGGGGCTCTCTCTAACAATTAATCACTTTTCATTACAATACTGAAAACCATATTCCCAGTGAAGTTTTATGTCATTTTTCCCCCATCTCTAAAAAAATAGCCAACCAAATCATTCCAAATAGCAATCTAAAATAACAGCAACACCGAGAACAGATGACTGGTTAAAGAAACTTTGGTACATTTACACAATGGAGTATTATGTAGCTCTTAGAAAAGATGAATTCATGAAATTTACATTCAAGTGGTACTACATGGAAAGTATCATGTTAAGCGAAATGAGTCAGAAAGAGCGGGATAGACACAGAAAGATTGCATTCATCTGGGGAACATAAAGTAACAAAATGAGAGACTAACACCCAGAAGTGGCCGAGACTAGTACCAGGAATTTTGCTCCATGACTTGGAGACCAGCCACACGTGCTAGGGGAAAAGGGAGCTCAGATAGAGAAGGGAACACCAAATAAAGGGTGTTGGGAGGATCCTTACAGGATGGGAGAAGAATGCTGAAAGTAGACTATAGACCAAACATGATTGCCACTCAATGCCACTCTTGCAAACCACAGAACCCAAAAGGAGAGAGAACAAAAGGGAATGCCCTGCCACAAAGGCAGGGTGGGATGGGGGGGATGGGGGGGGAGGGATGCTGGGACCTGTGGTGGTGGAGGATGGGCGCTGGTGAACAACAGATGAACAACAGTACAGTGCTACACATATATATGAAGGTGAAGGTGAAGGTGAAGGCCCTCCCGTTGATCGTCGATTTGCTCGAGCGGGGGTATATATATCTGTCCCTCTAGGAGAGCCTGGCAAGCTACCGAGGGTATCCCTACCCGTGGCGTATTCGATATGCCAGAATGGGTACTTGATCATTGTATAACTGAAACCCAAGCACAAAAATTTGTAAGTCTTTAACTGTGTTTCACTAGTAAAAAAAAAAAAAAATTAAAAATAAATAAATAAAATAACAGCAACATATAGTAAAAACAGGAATGATGCTATATATTTATACATGTGTGTACATATATATATGGGCTGGAGTGATAGCACAGCGGGTAGGGCGTTTGCCTTGCAAGCGGCCAACCTGGGTTCGATTCCTCCCTCCCTCTCGGAGAGCCCAACAAACTACTGAGAGTATCCCACCCGCACAGCAGAGCCTGGCAAGCTACCCATGGTGTATTTGCTATGCCAGAAACAGTAACAAGTCTCACAATGGAGATGCTACTGGTGCCCGCTTGAACAAATTGATGAACCACAGGACAGTGCTACATATATATATATATATATATATATATATATATATATATATCCCTCTCGGAGAGCCTGGCAAGCTACCAAGAGTATCCCTCCCGCAAGACAGAGCCTGATAAGCTAACCGTGGCATATTCGATATGCCAAAAACAGTAACAATATTGGGCCTCATTCCCCTGACCCTGAAAGAGCCTCCAATACGGCAGCGTTGGGAATGACAAGTAAGGAGAGGATTCTAAAATCTCAGGGCTGGGACGAATGGAGACGATGGAGACATTACTGGCGTGCACTCCAGCAAATCAATGAACAACGGGATGGCATGTGATATATATATATATAGTCAACATAAAGTAGTTTCTGGTGGAGAAGTTTGTCAGTGGAATTTTCCCTATTCTGGATGTGCACTGACTCTATGGCTAGCTCTGCAAAACAAACACTGAAGGTAATTTTATTCTCTTTTTGCAGAAAATGTAAAACTCCTTCTTAGATTTCTTTCATTTGGCAAAATAGGGTTAGTAAGTATATCTCTCATAGATGTAAAGTGGTATATAATACAGACTTTAGAAAATGAGACATCTATATGCGTTGGGGATGGGAGAAAGAACTAACAAAGTTTCTTCTCTAGACGACAAAGAGAATTTAACCCTCCCTCATGAAGAGACCTATCTTCAATGAGAAAAGGTACATTTGTGAGGCCACAGATAGAAAATTGAGAAATATGTTGGTGGCATATTTTTTTACCAAAAAATTGATAATAGAAGATCCCAGAAATTTGGATCTTCTATGAGGGTGAGAAGTCAAAAATATCTTCTGGAAATAAGATAGAAGGTGAGAGAAAGAGAGCTGATGAGACCAAAGAGTGCTTGAAGATATCATCATAGAGCACAGAAAAGCAATCAATCTGAGAAATGAGGCAGAGTTGCTTGGCTATAGAAAATACTTTACCTTTTCTAAATTCATCACAAGTTCAAAATATCTTTTTTGTTCTGTATATAATTTGGTGCAGACTACAGTAATTATAAGGCCTAAAAAGAAATTATCTAAAGTAATTTCAGTTGCTCTACAGTGCTTATGATGAAGCAATACATAGTAAGTTTAATAAAAAGGAGAGTTGTTAGGAAAGCAAACAACATGCAAAAACACCAGCTGTGTGTCTTACTGTTGATATTTGTCATGAAATACCAGCCACAGTATATAAAAGGAAAATTCAAGACTGCATGAAAGCTTGTTACCTATAAGGGGAGAAAGAGATGCATTTTAGAAAATCAGCAAGACAAGCTCTGAGGGTAG